AAAAAATAACATATCCTTGTAAAGGATGTTCAAAAGAATTTTGTTTAGTTCATTTACCAGAACATCAACAAATGTTAAACGATGAAATAAATCATATTACTAATGAATATAATGAATTTAAACAAATATTTAATGAACAAAAACAGAATCCACAAAATCCACAAAATGATTTATTGATAAAACAAATTGAGCAATGGGAAAGAAATTCTATTGAAAAAATTCAACAAAAAGCAAAAACTTGTAGAGAAATTGTTATTGAATATTTACCAACATTGTTTAATGATATTGAGATAAAATTTAATGATTTATCTGAACAAATAAAACAAATTCATCAAGAAAATGAGTTTAATGAAATTAATTTAAATTATTTAAGAAACCAATTAATAGAAATGACACAAGAATTAAATAATCCATCAAGTATTTCTATTAAAGAAGAATTACAATCATTTATTAATGATATTTCAATTATTTTAACGAAAAGTGAGTTTTTTCAAAAATTGTATTTAATAGAATAATTTTGATTTTCTATGAATTTATGTGAAAAAAAACTATAAAAACATAAAATAATTGAGTATATTATTGATTTATATAATCAATAATAATAGAATTAATAGAAATAGAAATTAAACTTATTTGTAAGTAAAAGAAAAAGCATAAGATATGAAATAGTATTTAATTAAAAACTAAAATTTTATTTCAAGTATTCAAAAAATGTCTGGCTGACAAAAATAAAATCAAAGTTTCATTTAAAATTAAATTTTTTGTTTTTTCTTCGATTCAAAACAAATCTTCTTCTTTTCTTGGAAATGTTTTATTCTCATTATTTTCTAGAATCAAAATTTAATAAATGGAAACAAAATGCCATCACTGTGGCAGGTGGAAATGAGTGCGGACCAAAATCAAATCAACTCCATTTTCCTGTAGCAATCTTTATTGATGAAAATAAAAATATTTTCATTGCTGATTGTTCAAATCATCGTATTGTTGAATGGAAATACAATACAAAAGAAGGACAAATCATTGCAGGTGGAAATGGACAAGGAAATCGACTGAATCAATTAAATCGACCAACAGATGTGATTGTTGATCAACAAAATCATTCAATAATCATTGCTGATTCTTTGAACAGACGAGTAATTCAGTGGATGAATCAAAATCAACAAATTCTCATTCGCAATATTGACTGTTGGAGCTTGGCAATGGATAAACACGGATTTCTTTATGTTTCCGATTATAAGAAAAATGAAGTGATACGATGGAAAATGGGAGAATATAACAAAAAAGGAATTGTAGTGGCTGGTGGAAATGAATATGGAAATCAACTCAATCAATTCTGTTCTCTACGTTCTATCTTTGTTGATGAAGATCAGTCTGTTTATATATCAGATTGGGGCAATCATCGTGTGATGAAATGGAGAAAAGATGCAAAAGAAGGAATTATTGTAGCTGGAGGAAATGGTGAAGGAAGAAATCTCAATCAATTGTCTTATCCTGAAGGAGTAATTGTTGATGAGTTGGGTCAAATATATGTAGCAGATTGTGAGAATCATCGAGTAATGCGTTGGTGTGAAGGAAAAGAAGAAGGTGAAATTGTCGTTGGTGGAGAAGAAAAAGGAAATCAATCAGATCAACTGAATAATTCTTGTGGTTTATCTTTTGATGATGAAGGAAATCTTTATGTTGTTGATTGTTATAATCATCGAATTCAAAAATTTGAAATAATTTTGTAAATGAAATTCTGATTTTGAATAAAAAGTCAAAAAATAAAAATAAAAGAGAAAAAGTCAAGTTTTATTGTTGAGAATCCAATGAAAAAATCGAATAAATATTGAAGAAAACGAAATATTTTAAAAAGAAAACAATGAAGAAAAATCTTTTGTTGATTTTGTTGAATTTTAGAGAACAAAGGAAAAGAAAAGAAAAGAAAATATTTTATGATTTGAATTAAATTGAGATAAAAACCGAGTTGAATTCAATTTTGTTGAACAAAAGGAATGTTGAAAAGATTTTTCTTTAATTAATTAACGAATTTTTGCTTTTTTGCTAACTTGTAATTTGAAGAGAAAAAAATGAGTTTTAGATAAAACTGGGTTTCATAAAATTTCAGAATTGTTCAAAACATAGAAAAATGGAAATATTTATAAAAAATTCATAATAAAACTCGAATTGAAATGAAGGGTGTGTGTGTGAATATTAAGTTATTCACCCATACTCATATCCACACCCACACTTTGTCACTCTTTGTTTACAGACCGGAAAACTTTATAGAAAGCCTATTCAAAAAATCTTGCAGATTTAATCTAACTATCTTTTACACATCGATAAAACATCATTTCTTGTTTTCAAATAACATTAAAAAAAACGTTCTTAATTATAATGTAAAAACAGCACCCAAGTTCTTTCTTCTTCACGTGGCTAGCGGATCGGCTATACACCGATAATAAGTCGATCCATTAGAGTTAATTGCAATTGGATCTTCATAAATATAGGTATGATCATGGGCAGTGAAGTCATGTTTCGATGTATAGTTGGAAGAAAGAAATGCCGCCGCATCGCCACTGATAGGCACATCAACGTATGATGAGTAGCGGAGAAGAATGTATCGTATTCCGGCAGTTAATTCTTGCACAGTGACTTGACCAATCATGTCACGAGCTTCCTCACCATCGGCTACACATGGCTCGTCCCATTCGGTCACAGTAAGACGTACAGGAAGACATACGTTATTTTCGTCGAGAATTCCGGTGATAGCGATTCCCCAGCATACCTTTGAATGAATAAGTGAAAATAA